TTGGTAAAAAAAAAAAACCAAACAAACAAAACATCGATGTACAGATCCAGAAAGGTCAACAACCCCTAACAGATAAATACAAAGAAAACTACCTGTAGACAATAGCATAGTCAATTTGCTGAAAACAAGAAAATCTTGAAAGCAACAAGACAAAAATTACATTTCTTACAGGGGAACAATGATATGAATGATAACTAACTCACTGTCTGACAGTGGAGGCCAGAAGACAGTGGAGCATCTTTAATGTGCTCAAAGGGGGAAAAAAAACTCCTGTTAACCCAGAATTTTTTATCTGTGAAAATATCTTTCAAAAATAAAGTTGAAGAGAAAAGTTAAGCAAATTATCACCATCAGGTATATACTATAAAAAAATGCTAAGGCAGATTCTTCAAACTGAAGAGAAATGATACCTGTTGGGAACTTAGATCTACAGAAAGGAGTGACTAGAAATGGTAAAATACATGCATATATATAAAAGAAAGAATGTCTTTAAAAAATAGACCTTATTTTTTAGAACAGTTTGAGCTCTAACAGCAAAATTGAGCAGAAGGTACAGAAGTTTGCCGTATACCTCTCTTCCCCTATACATGCAAAGCATCCCCATTATCAACATCCCCTACCACACTTCAGTGGTATGTTTTTTACAATTGATGAACCTCCACTGACACATTGTTATCACCCAAAGTCCATAGTTTACATTAGGGTTCAGCTTGGTGGTGTAAGTTCTCTGGGTTTGGACAAATGTATAATGACATGTATCTACCATTATAGTATCACACAGAGTCACTTCACTGCCCCCCAAGTCTTCTCCTCCTCTACCTATTCATCCCTTCCCCCCAACAGTCTCCTGGCAATCAGTGATGTTTTCACCATTTCCATAGATTTTTGCCTTTTCCAGAATGTCATATAGTTGGAATCACATATTATGTAGCCTCTTCAGATTTGCTTCTTTCATTTAGTAATATGCATTTAAGTTTCCTTCATGTATTTTCATAGCTTGATAGTCATTTCTTTTTTTCACTGAATGCTATTCCATTGTGTGGATGTATGATAGTTTATTTCTCCATTTCCTTACTGAAGGATATTTTGGTTGCTTCCAAGTTTTGGCAATTATGCATAAAGCTGCTATAAACATTCGTTTCGCAGATTTTTGTGTGACATAAGTTTTCTGCTCGTTTAGGTAAACCAAGGAGCATGATTGCTAGATTGTATGGTAAGAGCATGTTTACTTTTGCAATAAACTACCAAACTGTCTTCCAAAGTGGCTGTATCATTTTGTATTCCCTGCAACAGTGAATGAGAGTTCCTGTTGCTCCACATCCTTGCCAGCATTTAGTGTTGTCAGTGTTCTGGATTTTGGCCATTCTAATAGGTGTGTAGCAGTATCTCGTTGTTTTAATTTGCATTTCCTTGATGACATATAATGTGGAGTATCTTTTCATATGCTTATTTGCTATCTTTATATCATCTTTGGTGAGGTGTATGTTAAGGTCTTAGGCCATTTTATTTATTTATTTTTAAATTATTTTTTTTCATTTTTGGCTGTGTTGGGTCTTTGTTGCTGTGCGCGGGCTTTCTCTAGTTGCGGTGAGCGGGAGCTACTCTTCGTTGTGGTGCGCGGGCTTCTCATAGCAGTGGCTTCTCTTGTTGCAGAGCATGGGCTCTAGGTGCACGGGCTTCAGTAGTTGTGGCACTCAGGCTCAGTAGTTGTGGCTCATGGGCTCTAGAGCGCAGGCTCAGTAGTCGTGGCACACGGACTTTGTTGCTCCACGGCACGTGGGATCTCCCTGGACCAGGGCTCGAACCCATGTCCCCTGCATTGGCAGGCGGATTCTTTTTTTTTTTTTTTAAGTGAAATGTGATTTATTTCAATGTTTTTAAAAATTTATTTTTTATTTTTGGCTGTGTTGGGTCTTCATTTCTGTGTGAGGGCTTTCTCTAGTTGCGGTGAGCGGGGGCCACTCTTCATCGTGGTGCGCAGGCCTCTCACTATCGTGGCCTCTCTTGTTGCGGAGCACAGGCTCCAGACGTGCAGGCTCAGTAGTTGTGGCTCATGGGCCTAGTTGCTCCGCGGCATGTGGGATCTTCCCAGACTGGGGCTCGAACCCATGTCCCCTACATTGGCAGGCAGATTCTCAAACACTGCGCCACCAGGGAAGCCCGGCAGGCGGATTCTTAACCGCTGTGCCACCGGGGAAGCCCTTTAGCCCATTTTTAAATCGGGTTTTTTATTGTTGAGTTTTAAGCTCAGGGGTCAAACAAGAAATCCTAAGGGAAATTAGAAAATGTTTTGTATTAGATAATAAATATTGCCGTATAACAGACTTCCCTGGTGGTGCAGTGGTTAAGAATCCACCTGCCAATGCAGGGGACATGGGTTCGAGCCCTGGTCGGGGAAGATCCCATGTGCCGCGGAGCAACTAAGCCTGTGCGCCACAACTACTGAAGTCCGTGCACTGAGAGCCCGTGCTCCGCAACAAGAGAAGCCACTGCAGTGAGAAGCCTGCGCACTGCAGTGAAGAGTAACCCCTGCTCACTGCAACTAGAGAAAGCCCATGCACAGCAACGAAGACCCAATGCAGTCAAAAATAAATAAATTTAAATTAAAAACAAATATTACAGTATATCAAAATTTGTGGGTATAGATTAAGCAGTGCTTATGGGGAAATTTATAGCTTTAAATACTTATGTGAAAGAAGAGAAATTTAGAGACAAGGATCCATTTTCACTTTAATAAACAGGAAAAAGAAAATTAAGCCCAAAGTAGAAGGGAGGAACAATAGAGTGGAAATCAATGAAATATAAGAGTAGATTAAACAGTAGAGAAAATTAATCGAGGCAAAAGTTATTTCTTTAAAATAATAAAATTGACAAGCTCCTGCAGAACAAGAAAAAGGGAACACAGTATTTACCAATATAGGATAACAAAGAAGATATCATCTTGATGTTACAGCCATTAAAAGAATAAAAGGAGAATATTAGGCCAGTAAATTTGACAGTCAGTTTAGATGAAATGGACAAACTCCTTGAAAAACACCGCTTACCAAAATTGACAGAAAAAAACAGAAAATCTCAGTAGCTCTATATTAAAGAAATTGAATTCATTATCCAACACTTCCTATAAAAATAACTTCCTACCAAGTTGGCTGCACTTTTGAATTCTGTCAGACTTTTAAGATCCTATATAAACTTTTCCAGAAAATAGAGGAGCCACGGGACTTCCTAGATTATTTAATAAGGTCAGCATCATCCTGATATCAAAACCTGAGAAAGACATAAGAAAATTCAGATCAGTATCCCTCATGAATTATAGACATAAAAATTTTAAACAAAATTAGCAAATCATATTCAGCAATATACAAAAACAGATAATACATCATGACCAAGTGCGTTTATCTCAGGAATTCAAGATTGATTTAACATTTGAAAATCAATTAGTGTGATTCACATATTAACAGAGTAAAGGGGGAAATCAGATGGTACAGATGAACCGGTTTGCAGGGCAGAAATAGAGACACAGATGTAGAGAACAAACTTATGGACACCAAGGGGGGAAAGTGGGGGTGGGATGAATTGGGATATTGGGATTGACATATGTACACTAATATGTATAAAATAGATAACTAATGAGAACCTGCTCTATAGCACAGGGAGCTCCACTTCGCTGTACAGTAGAAACTAACACAACATTGTAAAACAACTATACCCCAATCAAGAAAAAAGGTAGGGCGGGGAACCAGCACAGTCATCTCAATAGATATTAAAAAAGCATTTGACAAAATTCAACTAGTTATGGTAAAACCTTTAGCAAACTTGGAATAGAAAAGAAATTCCTCAGTCTGATAAAGGCCACCTGTGAAAAACCTATAGCTAACATAAAATTTGTGCTTTTCTCCAAAGATTGGTAACAAGGTAAGGACATCTACTTTCACCACTTCTCTGTGTACTGCATGTAACAGCCAGTGCAATGAAACAAGAAATATAAATAAAGGCACAAGATTGTCTTTATTTACAGATGACATCATAGCTTTTGTAGGAAAATCCAAAGGAATCTATAAAATGACTACTAAGCCATCAGTATGTATGTAAAGAATCCTTCATGATCTGAGAAAATATAGTGTTAAATGGATTAACTAGATTACAGAGTTGTACTATGATGTGTTCTCAACCATGTTAAAATATTATGCATAAAATGGCTAGAAAGAAATCAAAATGGTAATACTGATATTGCTGAGTGGTAAGTTTATGCATGATAATTTTCTGTATTTTCCAATTTTTAAATAATAAATGTACTGTATATTTAGAAAAAAAAGTCAGATCTTTTAAAATCTAGTCATAACAGGCAGGAGACTTTAAGGCATTGAGAATTGCTGTTGTTACTGAAGCATGAAACAGACCTGAAACTGCATTTCACAGCCAATTTAAAAACCTACATTTTCACCCCAGTCAGAATTATGCTGCATTAATGGTAACATACAAAGAGAATTCAGGAGATAATTTCCATCATTCAGAAATTTATATTATAGTGATATGTCAGGTATCCTGGTTCCATACTATTTTTTTTAATGAGCTCTGCTTTTATAAGTAACTTTTTTCTATTAAGTAGCATATTTCTTTTTAAAATTTTATATATATTTTTAAAAAGAAAGAAAAAGTTGTGACCACTGTAAAATTTACTCTCTTTTTTCCTGATAAAAACATTCTCCCTCCGATGTTTCTCCCTCCAGGTGCTCACTGAATGGGGCACAAGTGAGACCTCCCAGGTGCGGGATGTGTTGATCTGGGTGGTGGCTAGAGGGGTGTTTGTATAGAAAAATTAATCAAGTGATCTGTATATTTATGGTCTGTGCTTTTATTTTTGTGTGTAAGTTACACTTCAGTTCATTTATTTTAACAAGGAAATTTTGTGAAATATTTCTCCCTTCAGGGTTAATGTTGATGTTTTTATAGCCCTATACTTAAGAACATGCTCTCACATTTTTATTCCTCTCCTGCTTTAGAAACACATATCGCATGATTGAACAAGATGACTTTGACATTAACACCAGACTACACACAATTGTCAGAGGGGAAGATGAGGCAGCCATGGTGGAGTCAGTGGGCCTGGCCCTTGTGAAGCTACCAGATGTTCTTAACCGCCTGAAGCCTGATATCATGATTGTTCATGGAGACAGGTTTGATGCCCTGGCTCTGGCTACGTCTGCTGCCTTGATGAACATCCGAATCCTTCACATTGAAGGGGGGGAAGTCAGTGGGACCATTGACGACTCTATCAGACACGCTATAACGAAACTGGCTCATTATCATGTGTGCTGCACCCGAAGTGCAGAGCAACACCTGATATCCATGTGTGAGGACCATGATCGCATCTTGTTGGCAGGCTGCCCTTCCTATGACAAACTTCTCTCCGCCAAGAACAAAGACTACATGAGCATCATTCGGATGTGGTTAGGTATGTATCAGACTTCATTCAGTCTAATGGTTGCTTTTGTCCGAAAGTTTGGGTATGCTTCAATCCTTTGGAAACTACTGTGGGTAGAATGTTCCATTAGCAATCAGAAGGCCAAGGTTTTTAGTTCATAGATCTCGCCCTGTGGTAGGACTTCACCTCTCTGAGACTCACCTTTTCTATAAAATAGACTTAATGGATTGAATTTTTAAAATCTGTGCTATTTTTATACAATGGAATGCTTTTAATCCATTAAATATAATGTTATAGGTGAATATTAGTTATAGGGACCGATCCTGTATATCAAAAAGGAAAAAAAAGCAAGCTATAAAATTATACGTATAATGATACATTTTTATAAAAACAGTAACGTAGAAAGGTCGGTAAGTATGTACACCAAGTCATTTATAATATTCACTTCTGGTTAGTAGAATTAAGGGGTTTTTTTTCCTTTATTTTGCTTTTTAGCTCAATGAAAAAAATTGTTATTTTTAATTTTAATGCCTTTCTTATGGGCTTGTTGGAATACTCAGATGAGTTAATGAATGTTGAAAGCAGTTATAAGGGATTATGATTATTATTAAAAAGCAGAAGTCATAGTTGTACCATTAGAGATTGTTACCACTGTAAGTAAACCTTAAGGTCTGAAATCTTCAATGACCAATGATCTAGATTCCTGGAAATTATTTTTGCTAATCAGAGGCAAAGAAAATAGATTTACAAACAAAGTCTATTAGTTAATTTATAGTGAGAGTACTATTTAGAGGGCCAATCAGGACTAATCGTCTATTTAGGTATTTAGGACCTTCCTCTGTGAAGAGGTAGATCTGTTGAATAATGAAGTTAATAGTAAATTAATTTGGTGATTGTGTAATCAAAGTGATTGTGTATATTTTAAATCCAGATCACATTAGAACAGGAAATAAATTGGGTTTTTCTACTATATAAGTTAATCCATTCTATATATTTCTTAACCTTGGACAGATTGATAGCTATCAGGGAACCTGTCAAGATAATGCTGATGGAACAGGCTTCTGTCTCTTCAATCTCCCCTTTCTGCATGCTTCTAAGTAAACATTCTTGCATTCTGTTCTGATTATAGTGTTAGCTCACTATGTCTTCTGAAAAACTTTGTATTTCTGAAAAACTTGTAATGAATAGAAAATAACCGTTATAAAGCAGAATACAGCAAAATTGTACTTGTAGGGCTTAAGGTTCTCTTTGGAACCTTTTAAGCAGTTTGTGAAAAGAAGAATGACAAAATAGCAAAAACTAGATTTTTTGTTTGTTTGTTTGTTTTTTGCGGTACGCGGGCCTCTCACTGTTGTGGCCCCTCCCGTTGCGGAGCACAGGCTCCGGACGTGCAGGCTCAGCGGCCATGGCTCATGGGCCCAGCCGCTCCGCGGCATGTGGGATCTTCCTGGACCGGGGCACGAACCCGTGTCCCCTGCATCGGCAGGCGGACTCTCAACCACTGCGCCACCAGGGAAGCCCTAGATTTTTTTTTTTAAACCAGTGGGGGCGGGGGGGAAAGACATTGAGCCAAAGCCACCTGTCCCTGGCAATAATACCTTTTGTGCAAAGCCTGTACCTGCTTCTCAGCCTGCAATTTCTGACGTTATCCTTCTGCTTATAAGAAAAATAGTATTGGGTAAGCCACTCAGAACATGCAGCTTTGTAACCAGAACATTAATAAATAACAGTCCTAATAAAAATATTAGCAAAGTTAAAAAGACATGTTACATTCCTAATACTGAAAGAAATACCACAGTAAATATAGAACTTTTTGAACCAAAACCAAGTAATGGTACCGTAATGGAAAGGGTTGTGTGGAAGGGCTGAAGCTGCTGAGTTCTGGAGACAAAGGCAGGTAAATGTCAGAAGTCATACATCGAGGACCAGGTGCAGGCTTTGCACAAAATGTATTATTGCCAGGGATGGGTAGCTGCAGCTCATCGCTCTGTGTTTTCTTTTTCACTGCTCTTTTTTACTACTTTGAACAAAAATTTAGTAATTATATCCCCACCCCACCCCCAGTTTAGAACATGATATGGGACCAGTCATTTTTTAAAATAAAATTTTGGAGCCTGTAGTCTTTTAAATCAAATACTACTGAAGATTCTTAGTAAAAAATTTCTGTTACGATTAAATCATAAAAAGTAACTGCTGGGCTTCCCTGGTGGCGCAGTGGTTGAGAGTCCGCCTGCCGATGCAGGGGACACGGGTTCATGCCCTGGTCCGGGAAGATCCCACATGCCGCGGAGCGGCTGGGCCCATGAGCCATGGCCGCTGAGCCTGCACGTCCGGAGCCTGTGCTCCGCAACGGGAGAGTCCACAACAGTGAGAGGCCCGTGTACCGCAACAACAACAACAACAACAACAACAAAAAAAGTGAGTAGAAAAAAACAACAAAACAAACAAAAAGATAAGTGAGTAGAGCTCATCTTCAGTTTTATGGGATAATATAGGCCCTGTTGCAGAATTCTTTGTGTTATTTGGCATGGCACTGTCCATCCAAATCTTTAACACTTTACATTTTTGCTGAGGAACTGTCCTTGGGATCCCAGCCTGGGGATGAGTGACGCCTTTCTAGTCCTTTGAACAGAGTTAGAAACACTGGCGGTTTGTTGAATCTGGTGGGCGATAGTGGGGAAATGCCTATGCATTATACGAAATTTATTTCATGCTCAGTCAATCTCTAAATGCCCTAATTTGCAACACATTATTACTCATTAATATTGCTGATAATTCATTAGAAACACTAGTTAGAAATTGGGAAGAGTCACATTTTTCTAACGCTTTGAAATATTTTGAATTTTAAGACAATGAAGTCTAGTGTCTACTATTTAAAATTATATATTTTGTTTGTGGTAGCAAGCACCTTTGTAAAACGTTAAGTTCCCTGAAGAATCCTTGGACTTGTTGCTGTAAGTTCTTATCCTTTGATCCCAATTTGGATGCCCTGCTTAGAATGTGACAAATTGTTTTTTCCTCAGAATTTTAAAACATAGACTTTGGGGTCTTGCTTTTTAGAATTTGCTTCTTCCTCCTTTAAGATTCTTAACTAATGAAGCAATGTGGTTTGATTTTTCTTTAAACAGGTGATGATGTAAAATCTAAAGATTACATTGTTGCACTACAGCACCCTGTGACCACGGACATTAAGCATTCACTAAAAATGTTTGAACTAACATTGGATGCACTTATCTCATTTAACAAGCGGACCCTAGTTCTGTTTCCAAATATTGATGCAGGTAATTTAACTTGAAAATGAAAGTATGCCACCTACCTTTCCAGTTTTATGTTTCTATTATGTCTTCTTTTGACCGACCTTCCTATCTTGCTCATCTTATCATTGAAGGCCATTCTATTCTGAAATGCATTCTGATTTTCAAAGGATCACCGATTTTGCAGTAGATTGAGGAGTTTGCGATATTATTAAGTCTAGTAGAAAATTAATAGGGAAGAAATAAATACTTTAAAAAAAAATCTCAAATCTCCATTCTAGTTTCATGTTTAGTCTCTTCCCTGCAGTTTCCATCAATGAGAAAATGCAATAGCCAAAACCACTTTTTTTTTTTTTAGATTCCATATATATGTGTTAGCATATGGTATTTGTTTTTCTCTTTCTGACTCACTTCACTCTGTATGACAGACTCTAGGGAGGGAGACACAAGAGGGAGGAGATAATGGGGATATATGTATATGTATAGCTGATTTGTTATAAAGCAGAAACTAACACACCATTGTAAAGCAATTATACTCCAATAAAGATGTTAAAAAAAAAAATGCAATAGCCAAGAGATATAAACCTTAGAAGCTGAAAAAGTGTCTCTAGGAAAGTAATGATCCTACTGACTGCAGTAAAATAGCCATTATTTTTATTTCTTGTTCTCTTATTTATGTTAGCTATACCTTAATTTAATCTTGAGCTTAAGCAATTTCGATCTCTAGCTCCCAACCAGTTGATCCTTAAGCCTAACCTGATTGATCACCTACTGGTGGATGGAACCAGTGCTAGTAAGACCTTAGGTTAATGGTAGGGATATATAAATGGGAAATGCCAGAGCAGGGCCTGATACTGAGGGATTTTCAGATACTGGTTATTATTAGCTGATACCACTCATTGCTGAGCTCTTAGGCATTTTTTGGTAAAGGAGGCAGGATCCCTTCTCTGCAGTGCCAAGATGTCACCATCTTACACTGAAAGAATCCTTCCCTTAGTGTGTCTTGAATAATCTTTTCTGTTAGGGGGAACAAAGTAGGGTGTTAGTAGGAAAAAAACTTTAAGACCCCCAACCCAGATTTCATCCAGGTTATGTATCAATATTTCAAAAACCTTAATATTTATTCTTTTCTAATCCTTTAAATTTTTGCATAAATATTTATAATGTAATTATATCTCTTCTTCAGTATTGTCAGTGATATTCTGTTTGTAATATACCTTCCTTATTGTATATACTTCAGAATTTGAGATTTTTTACCCCTATGAAAGGAAAGGGTCCCAGGAATG